TAGCCCTTCGTCATTCGCTCCGATGAAGGGCTAAGGCTTGAAACGTCAGCTTTTGTAATCGTTACGGTGGCCAATTTACCACTTCAACTTTGTTGATATATCCAAGTTATTTCGTTACTCCCACCGAAGCAGCCCCAAACAGTTTTTTTCAAAACTATCAGCCTTTATTCTTTTACCTTAGGTTGTGCATTTCTATTCGTCCTCTAAGTATTGAAGGACCTAACAATGAGCTAAACTGAGAAAGGCATTCAGAAGCTGCTGTTGATGTTAGCGCATTGTCACTTTTCTGTGGAAGAAACGTTTGTAAAACTAGAGGTAAGGACAAATAATTATTATTTCAAGTCTTCCAAAAATGTTGAGAACAAAAGTTCACAATGGTCACAAATGATTCATAAGATCTTGGGGTATAGCTAATCGTGAAATACAGATAACTTTTACAAGATTTCACCATCTAGATTCCAGAACACCAAGCATTTAGGCACTATGGAAAAAGTATTTAAAAACACAACTATAACTAGTTCTTACCAGACTGTAGAAAATTGAGTCAATGAAAAGCTCAAAATGTCTTTTAAATTGATTCTTTCCTATTCCTTTGGCAATGAATGGTAGCTGAAAAAAAAAACATAGCCAGCTAATTTAAAAAACAATTAAAAAAAAAATTGGATATGTTATTATCAATGATAATAAGACATGTTTCCAAGTTGGTTTACCTGTGTGCAGACTGTTTCAAGTAGATGAAGATGCTGAGTGTAATGTTTATAGTGGGCTGCCTGTGCTACGAGGGGCAATAAGGTGATGACTTCTTTATGAGCCTTGGAATTGGTTGAAAGCTCAGCAACAAGGTCCACACAACTAGGAGAGGGAGGAAAGAGTTCAATTCACATAGGACTTCACCCTACAAACATCAACAAGGCCAGTGGGAAAGAAATCCCAGAAGCCTGGATGCTGATAATCAAGAAACCCAACAGCAGGAGTCTCTCATGACAGTCTGATCCAGACCTGATCAGAGAGGCACCAATCAGATCCATTCAATCAAAGCTGAGCACAATAGAATATAGGTGAAATGTACTCAATTGACCTCATTGCAGGAAGACTAGCAGTATATACAGTCAAAATGTTGTGATCCACATACGAAAAACCACATCATGGGACAAATAATTATAATTATATTTCTCTTGAAAAAGTTCTCATTATTAACTTGCTCATAATCCCCAATCATAGTTAAGTAAGAATTAAAGGTTGACTCCCTTTACCAAATTTCCCTCCAAAGACACCTTCACAACTACTGTGACAGTCATTGACAGCCGAAAAGGACATTGCCTCAGTGAACAATAAGCTAGTATCCAAAGCAAGAGTTCCAGATTTAGCTCTGGTTGGGGAAATAACCAAAAATCTCCTATGTTTTGACACCCAAAATTGCTATATTTTGGTTTATTACAAACTGGATAATGCAATTCAAGACTTTTTATTGGCTTAGTCATTATGGCATATGAGCCAGAATCTAATATCTCTACATTGTAACATCCGGTTTCTTCTTACAAAATAAAGTCGCGAAGATTTGTCTAATATCTTGAAGTGGGTTTTTTTTTAATAAAACAATTATTCCACTCACGCTTGTTGGATATGAGATGATTATAGCCTACGGGCCACGTTGGCTATCTATCATCTCATATCCAAAGCGCACTCATGGAATAATTGTTAAATATATCTGGGATTTGCAATGAAAACAATTTTGAACCTTTAACTCCCCACATCTGCCTTAGTGGAAGTGTAAGTTGTGAGAGATTTAAACTCACCCATCAGCTCTTTCCCATGGCTCAGCAGGTCTTCTGAAAAGATGGTCGGCACATCCACCTCCCCTTCTCATTTTAGGGGCAAGTGACCCACAGGAATACATCTACACACAAAAAANATGATGCCCTTGTGAAACACGTCTTTCGAGATAACAATTTGGTCTCAAACAGGCAGTGGGCCTACCGACCCGGGCATTCAACGGAATACCTGATGATTCAACTCACAGAATCTTGGAGATCAGCTCTTGACTCAGGAAAATTTGTAGCAGTAGCGTTCATCGACTTCAGGAAAGCTTTCGATAGCGTCTCGCATGCTGCATTAATTATGAAGCTTGAAAGACATTTCGGAATTAAGGGATCAACCCTCGATTGGTTAAAGAGGTATTTGACAGGGCGAAAACAGTTTACAGAGTGAAATGGAGTTAAGTCAGACCTTCTCCCAGTATCCATGGTGATACCTCAAGGAACAGTACTGGGACCGACTCTGTTCTCACTATTCACAAATGATGTGCCACTATCTGTCCGGTCGGGTTCTGGGTATCTGTTTGCCGATGATACCACGGTCTTCTGTATAGGCGACAAGGTGGACGAGGCCATCGCAAAGTTGAATGGTGCATTGAAGGAGGTTTATGACTGGTGTGGTAGAAACCAGTTAAGAGGGTCGTGAAGGGATAAAATAGGAACTGAGATTAGCCTTATTTTGGACTGGGAAAACGGGAGTTACTCACTGGGACTGGGATTTAGCCACTGGGAATGGGATGAACAATTATAAAATGGGAATGGGATTTATTTTCTTCAGCGGTCTTTGCACCAATATTTTGAAAAATAAAAATAAAATTTCGTAGCAATAGACTTTGCACTCCTCAGTAGAGACCGTGAAATCAGTATTTTTCGCCATCGCGCCCGCGGTCAAGCTACCAGGCTTACATGGTTGCATATGGTCTGCACATTACTACACACATCCCAGCTCATACTACCTTGCTGAACCTTCTGTTGCTGGCCATTTGGTAAGTGTTGAAATTCCCAAACCAGTTGGAGAAAGACTGTCCAGAAACGAAGAAGCAGAAATGAGATTGTGGGCAAAACGATTCGGCAAGTGTGTAAGGCAGCGCAATGTACGACAAGACAATACCATGGACAGAGCTGGTACACTGCCTTTGAATCTGTACGAAATACAGACATCGCTTAATCCATTATATTTGCAGTTTGTATTTCCTCACGCACAAAGCTCAGTACAGGATGAAAGTCAAGAAAGTAAGACATGATGAACGTCCTGCGGAGGTTTATCACCTGCACCGATCAACGTGACGACTACAGCAGCAGTGAAAGCGGAGACAGTGAGTCAGACGAGGATTGTGCAGATGATAGAATTGGTTTTCATATGGTTATGTCAAAAAGGGCTGGAAGAGAAAGAGTGTTCACCGGCAGAATGAGAGATTTTCTTCAGTCCAGGTGAAGGTACGTGTATCCAAATAGCGTCAATCAGTGCTTTTAATTTATTATGCGCATGATTTTGCAAATCATCATTAGTAATGGGATTTTAGATTTGGTAACTTGGATTTTGGCAAAAATTAGCCAGGGAACTGGGATTTGGGCCAAATTTAGGCTGGGAACTGGGATTTGGTACCCCCCTTCACGACCCTCAGTTAACACCCTATCCAGGAAAGAGCGAAGCGATGCTACTTTGTAAGGGAAACCCAATGGGGCCGATAGC